GTTGAGTTCCAAAGAAGGAAAGAGAATATCCTAGGGGGAGAAGGCAATGAGCTGAAATCCGAGCAGAGAGCAGTAAGTGGTAAGTGAATGAAAGCTTGGGTTGCCCTGGGAACAAATACTGACTGCAGCCCTGAGAGCTTGGGTTCCTAAGCTTTGGGTCTGTCTCAAGGTTAGGGAGCTAACATGAATCTCCTATACTAGCCTGGACCCTCCATGGAACTAAAGTGTTCTCAGATGTAGCAAATACCGGCTAGTGGCAAATGCAGCCAAATCCTCTCTGAAGGAGTATCTCCAACTTGGACCTGTAGAATTCTCACAGATTAAGTTCAAGAACATAATGAGCTTCTAAAGAGAAGTCAATTCACCTCAACTGAGAGTTATCAAAAACAAAATACAAATTAAATTTTCAAGTGAATTCATATGCTGAATTATCAGATACACGACATAAACCAACTGTATATGACATGGTGAAAAAATTAAAAATTGATTATTTGTATGTCAACCAAAAAGGACTACTAAAAAAATTGGCCAAGAAGATTTAAAAGTGAAACATTTAGAACTAAAATAACCTAATCTTTGAAATTAAAATCTTATTAACTGTGTAATAGCATATATGATACATATGAAAGAAATAATTTGTGAACTGCAAAATCAATCCTAGGAAATTACTCAAAATTGGCACAGAAGGCAAAAAATTTAGAGGCTGGATAATGTAGTAGATAAGAGCAAGGATTCAGAAACAGGACTAAATTTGAATCCCAGCTCTAACACTAATTGGCTCTGTGACCTTGGGCATATTGCTTACCCTCTCTGTGCCTCAGTTTTATCATCTATAAAAAGTAGAGATTTGTATAAAGATTAAATGAGGTAAAATATGTAAAATTCTTGGACCAATAATTGGTAATTTTAAGCACTATAGAATAATTGTTATTATTAATATGATAGAATTACGTTAAAGCATATCTATTATTATCAAAAAATATGTGTGCTTAATTCTTCTATTAAAAGAAAGAATTTTCAGATTTGCTCGCAAAACAAATCCTGATTCTATGCCATGTATGAGACATACTAAATACAAAGTCATTCAAAAGATAAAAAATTAGAAAATGCTCAATAATATGCATGGTACATGCAAAAAAGAGAGAGAGAAAGAAAAAGCAGGAGTCATGGTCAGACAAGGTAGAATTTGGAACAAAAAGCATTAAACAAGACAAAGATACTGAAAAGTACTAAAAGGAACAACCGACATCGCAGATAGAGTATTTATGCATCTCTATGCACCCGTGAGGGTAAAACAACAGAAAATACAAAGACAGGTACTTAGAAAAACTTGATTAATAGGAGCTTTATTTCTTTTTTCTTAGGATGAAAAATGTAAAAAAAAAAAAGATTTAAAATACTTAAATAACATTTTCTGTAAAGTAGATTTTATGGAGATATACTGAATGTTTGTACCTGAAATACAAAATATGGCTTTTTAAAAAAGTGCTCATGGAACATTTACTAGCACTTATCATATAATAGGACACAAAAAAAAATATAATAAACTCTAAAGCAGAAATAATACAAAAGTATTGCTTGACCCCAAAACAGTAATAGAAGCTTCTCCACCAAGAAAAGATTTAAAAACAAGAACTATTTAGTTAAAGAAGAGAAAAAAAGGTGCAGAATTTCTAGAACACAAGTATAATGAAAATATTGCATATTATAATATGATAGGATTCAGGTAAACAGTGTTCAAAGGAAAATTCAAATCCTTAAATATGTTGCCAGTAAAAAAGAAAATATTAAAAAGAACATACATAATTAAAAACTAAAAGTTTACAAAATAAGCCAAAGGAAAACAGAAGGAAGGAATTAATAAAAATAAAAACAGAAATTAACATGCTACAAAACAATTAAATGAATAAATGAATAAAACTATTTATTTAAAAAGGAAAGCAATAAACTAGAAAAATCACCAGCTAATCTAATTAACACAAAGAAACAGAATAACAACAGTATAGAATAAAAAGTGAATAGAGGGAGGTGATCATAGAAATATGAAAGTTTTTTTAATTACTTAAAAAGAAAGTAATCTTAAGCTTTTTTTACAAAGATAATTATCACACTTTTTAAATATTGAAAAAATTGAAAATGACGTAATATAAAATAATGAAAATGATTATTAAAATTGTGGTGTAGATATATAAAAGCACCCTGGGTAGTGCAAATGGTTAAGTGCTCAACTACTAGCCAAAAGGTTGCAGGTTCAAACCCACCCAGAGGCCTTTGGAAGACAGGCCCGGCGATCTGCTTCTGAAAGGTCACAGCCTTGAAAACCCTATGGAGCAGTTCTTCTCTACACACACGGGTTGCCATGAGTCAGAATGGACTCCATAGCAACTAACAACAACAAAGCCGTGTACTATATGAAAAAAAAACAAACCCAAACCCATTGCTGTCAAGTTGATTCCGACTCATAGTGACGCTATAGAACAGAGTAGAACTGCCCCAGGGTTTCCAAGGAGTGACTGGTAGATTCCAGCTGCTGACCTTTTGGTTAGCAGCTGAGCTCTTTAACCACTGTACCACCAGAGCTTCATATACTATATAGTACTATATAGACATTAAAAGTACTAGTCATGTAGATTACTATTTAATGAAATGGAAGGGTGATCCTGATATATCACCAAATGAAAATTTAGAAAGCATGTTACAAAGTATATACTTCATAACTCTAAACAAAAATTATATACTAGAACTATATACGTAGACACATTTTCTGCCAAGTGTGAGGATAGAATAAAGATATGTTCAGAAACAAAAGATTTCAGTCTTTTATATACTCATTCTCAGGAAGCTACTGTAGAATACGTTCCATCAAAACAAGGGAGTCAACCGAGAAAGATGAAACAGGATTTCCAAAAAGGGAGAGTGGTGAGAGCATTTCTCAATATAACAGCAAAGGGAAGGAACAACTGTGCCACATTCCAGAGTAGAGGGGAAGGACAGACACACCAGGGGAGACACCTCGGTGGAAGTGGGTGGGGGAGGGGAAGTTGAAAATAAAACAAATATTACCAGAAGAATAATGGTTTTTAACCCTTCTCTGAGTTAATTTACAAATCAAATCTAAACAATCTGAAAAAAATAAGTCAAATATTAATTAAAGGAAAATCAAAAGTTGTACAAGAAAGAAAATATAATCGTAGTATACTACTTAACTCAGTGGTGAACATGTTTACATAGTCACAAAAACATCCACAACTCACCAGAACGCAAGGAAGCTGTAAAATGACAGCTGTCAAAAAGGACACAGAAGCCAATTGGAAGTGATTCCTATTGGTCCAAGATGGGATGATTTGACTATCAAAAAGATGAAGTGTATTGAAATACATATATGCTAGTATGTGCATTTGTGACGAGACTTAAAAAAAAAAAAGAATTCTTTGGTCATCTTTGGAAGATACTAGGGAACCAACTCATGACTGCATTCTGAAAGCTGGTAAAAGAAAAAAAAGAGAGAGAAAGTATTAAAGTATATATCCTGCCTTTCTTTGAAAACTGTACCTTAGGATAACCAAACAGTAAATGAGGAATCTTCTCCATTATTGAAAATTTTCAGCTAATAAATGTAGAAGAAATGATAGACTATCACTATCTTGACACCCCTTAATAAAACAATGATTCCATGCAATGGTCGCCAATGGCTGCTAAATCCAGTAAGTGAAAGACTTGTGGAGAATTTAGAATGAAGTTGACACCTGAACTCAATGGTTAATTTTAACAACTTAAAAGAGATTCAACCCCCCTGGTGTGATGCAATAAAAAATAAACAGCACCACACACAAAATATTCTTGCCAAAATAATGACACCTGAATCAGATCAAGCCTCTAACTCTAACTGCTTATATACAGGAAAAACAAGTGAGAAAGGAACATGTTAAATGATACTACACATATGCAATCACAAAATCCAGGATGTAGGAAATTCTACACAATAAATGACCTAATTTCTTTAATAAATCAATGTTAAGAAAGAGAAAAGAGGGAAAAGCAAGAGATAACTAGAGTCATAAGAGACAGAGCAACCAAATGTAATCTTGTTTAGATCTTGATGCCAACAAATGAATTGAAAATTTTTTGAGACAATTGGGAAAATGTGAATACTGAGGGGATTATTTAATGACATTAAGGAATTACTGTAAATTTTATGTTTTGGTGTAATAATGGTATTTTACTTACGTTTTATAAAAAGTGTTCTTAGCTTTTATAGATATAATTCTGAATTTACAGGTAAAATTAAAAAGGTATACATTTGTGAAATAAAATTATAAACTTTGCTTTATGAAAACAGAGACAGTTCTCTCACCCATGACACCAAAGTTCATCTTATTATGTTAGAAACCTATGAGCTTATAATCATATATATATACATAATTTTTAAAGCTTACAGTTACACCTTAAATTATAACTAACTTTTAGAACTAGCTTGTCCAGTTTCACATCATTTTATTTAGGTGACGAGGTTCACTGAAACACATGAAAGTTGTTCTTTAAGAAAACAATTGAAGAGTAATGAACATGTCTTGTTTTTAAAACTCTAGCGGTCTTACAATTATGGCTCACTGATCTTGTGATTGTCTTAGCAAGACTTTTATTTTTCTATTCTTTATAATGTTTCAGCACATACTGCTCTCTTATAAGATGTATGTATTATGATATAATCATCAACCAATGAAAAAATTTTTGTTCAAAGTTCCTCATGAAAAGATATATAAACACCCTGAAAAAATTAATGGGAGCACTGATTTACTCGGTAATGACATTCTGCCCAACTTTAAAGTTGTCTATTAAATCTGCAGAGCAATCTGTTAAGTGTTTTGAGTTGTTTGACAGTTATTTGGTGTCAGAAACGGGATCCAGAGAAGACCCTCACCCAACCAACCCCAAGGTTTATGAGTGACCATGTGCTGACATCCACAGAACTCCTTGTGTCCGCTGATCCCTAGTCAACCATGGAGTACAAGGGGTAAGTCTAGTGTCTCCCGGGTCCAAGCTCCACTCGCTTTGCGTTTTGAGCTCCCAGATTTATTAAAGCAATTCAGGCTAGGCATGACTTGGGATTAGAGCTCAGACGTCATCTTGGTGAGTCACCGTTTTGTTCTGTCTATTTTATGTTCCTTCAGACAGCCCTTTGATGAGGACCTCAGTGTTAGTCTAGTCGTCTTAGAGATTTTAAGCATGGACTCCTTCTGTTCTAAATTTCCTTCTCCCCTCTCCTAAAACCCTGGTTCTTACATGTCTTCTCAGTAAGGAGCTGCATGTTGTGGGTTTTTTAGTGGATTGACTAAACCAAAGATGACTTGAATTTGAAGTGGCTACTTTGGGGAACTGAGTTCTCATTTGTTTTGTCTTTTTCACTCCGGTGTCACATGTTGTAGTTTCTTAGAAGTGCATTAACTATACCAAGAATTGAATCTGTAGTGGTCACTTTGAGGAACTTTTGTTTGATGTTCAGGTTTTGTTATTTGTTATTCAAACACTCTCCTTGGACTAGACCGAAGGGAAATGAGACTGAGTCTGATAAGGACAGTTGGAGTGGGTCCAACAAAGGCCTCAGGTACATTTTAAAATGGATTCAGCCGAGTTCAAAGGATCTGGAACCCCTCCATCTGGCAAGTTAATAAAATTATGGACCAAAAACCTGTTTTTCTTTCTGTAGAAATGGGTCAACCTTATCAAAATCAACTTGCAGTTTGTAGTAGCTACTTTAGAGAACTGGATTCTTATTTGCTTTGTTCTGTGTTGTGCTGTTTAAGAGTGTGCTGCTGTCTAAAATTATTGATGGTCTCCTTATGTCTCACTTTTTATTTTGAGAGTTCGGCTTTGATCTAGAGAGAGCTCTCTCTGGTTGTCCTGCCTGCTGTTAGGTTTGGGGCTTGATTGCTAACTTTCATGGGGTCATTTTAAGTCTCATTCCTTTTCTTTTTCAAGAAAATATGCTTCTTCCTATGTGTTCTCTCATTCCTAATTCTTGCACCAATCTTTCTAAATGTATAATTTCACTAAAAATGATTTAGATATTTTGTGATCACTTAGAGAAATTGTTTTATATACATTGGTTCATTTGGAAAGTACACTAAAAAAAAAAAAAAGATGAATTGTTTATTTTGATTAGTATAATAAGGCCTCAAAATGACAAAAATTATTCTAAAATTATTTCAATATAAGATTCTTTAAGGCGTGCAGAAGATAGGCTTATGAAAATGTAATATTTTTGTACCTCCAGATGGTATCAAATCAGATTATAATATGCCTTCAAGGACTTTATTCAGATTATTTTAGAAATAAATAAGCTGTTATATAAATTAAAGATTCCACCTTAAATAGTTTCAATTTGAAAAAATATATATTATAGAAGCTAAAAAAAAATTTAAGTTCACATAATTTAGACATATCTTTGACAAACTAGACTAGTTTAATAATTTGGGTTTAATAGAAACAGTTATGTTTTCTCTGAGTTACCATTGTTAAGTGTAAGTGTACATTTTTATTCTACATGGGTATATTTTTCCTAATTTATCCAAGTTTACTGAGAGAAAAAGCTAGCATTGATTCTACCAAATATTTTAAATCATGGAAAGAAGAAAGTTTGTGTTTTAACTAAATCATGTTGTAATTCTGATAAACTTTATTTCAACAATAATTATGTTTTATGGTATGTAAGCTTAAAATAATTTTTAAGACCTTTAGATAACTTAAAACCTTGGACTGTTACTAAACTGAGTTAATAGATACTCATTATAATTTCATTTTATGTACTTTTGCTTTATATTTTTCATATGCTACAGAGAGGATACATGTATATGTATATCTGGGTCTGCTAATGAATGTGTTCATTTTTGCCACTTTAAAATGTGTACTATAAAAAGTTATTTCTTATAGTTAAAACTAAGATTTGATAGGTTTATTTATAAGATTTAAATACCAAATGGTATACAAAACTAAAATTTGGCTTTCTCTCTGGTAAATGGCAAAATTTTCTTTAATTACTGGCTTGCTCTTAACAAACATTGTAAAGTTAACTTTATCTTGTACATAATCTGCCTAGAAGGCAAAGATCTTGTGTCTCATCAGAAATTCCTGAGCATGTCCTTCACTATTCAATATGTAGATAATTTTTAGGCTCTGATATTCTCAAAGACAGTCAAGCTGATTCATTATACCTTTTGCAACAATTAGCGAGAAGGGGCACAGGGTCTCCAAGGATAAATAACAGCTTTGTCTGTCTCAAGTTCAATACCTAGGGCATGAACTAAGTAGACAAAGACGTCTTTTCGTGGTATATCCATAAATTAGCGGGTCAAGCCCTGGGGATGTTGATTCAAGAACATGGAAATAAAGAGACCTGTAGCTTATTACGAAACCCTGGTGGTGTAATGGTTAAGCATTCAGCTGCTAACCAAAATGTTGGCAGTTCGAATCCTCCAGTTGCTCCTTGGAAACCCTATGGGGCAGTTCTACCCTGTCCTATAGAGTTACTATGAGTTGGAATCAACTCGACTGCAATGGGTTTGGGCTTTTTGGGGGTTTTGGTAGCTTATTACAGTTTAAAACTAGATCCTGTAGCCAAGGCCTTGCCTGGGTGCTTAAAAGCTGTGGCTACAGAAGCAAAATTAGTAAAAACATCTTCAGACACAGTGTTACAAAATCTTCTCACTCTGTGTATACTTCATACCATAGAAATCCTGCTCAAAGTAATACGTGGCATTTTTTGGCCAGCACACTTACTTATAATAAAAGATATTCACCTCTAGTATGGAAAATCTTAATATTATGGCTAAGATTAAAATTTTGCACAAATTTGTCTCCTCAGCCTTGAAAGCCACGGAACATGGACTGGCTGCCTTAAATGAAGAAACTGCAGCCATGAGGAAGGTGGTGTTCCAAAATCAGACAGCTTTGGACATAATTACTGTGGCTCAAGGAGGTACCTGTGCTGAACTAAAAGTTAAATGCTGTGTATCTATTCCTAATAATGAAGCTTTAGTGAATCACTCCTTCATACATTTACAGTCACTATTAGAACCGGACATCTTGGAGATGATACTTGGTGGGTTGAGATCAAGGGGTGGTCCTCTGGATGGAGAATCTGGTGGAAGAAATTATTGTTTGATTATTATGTGTAATGATTGGAGGGATATTTTGTTGTGCTTCTTTTATTAGTGTAAAGAGGGTCACTATGAGTCAGAACCTAATCGACAGCAGATAACAACAACCCTCTGATCCATTTTACACACAGCAATCAGACTAATGTTTTAAAAATGCAAAGCAAAGCATGTCACAACCCTGCTTAGATCCCTCAAGTAGCTTCTCAATGCCCTTAGAATGAATCCAAAGTCTTTAACATAGTCTTCAGAGCCCTGCACCATCAGGCCCCTGCTGATGACTCCAGCATCATCTTTACACCACTTTCCCCATCATTCACTTGAACTTGCACAGATAGTTTCATTGATCATAAGTACTTCCTCCATCACCCTTTGCTTGGTTAGATATTAAGTTTTAGGATTCAATTTCAGTGTCACCATTTTTCTTCCTCCACAGTCTTTGCCATCATTTTTAATTACATATTTATTTGTTTACTTGCTTTGCCTTTGTTTCCTCCACAGACTCAGTGTCTTAGTCATCCAGTGCTGCTATAACAGAAATACCCAAGTGGATGGTTTTAACAAAGAGAAATTTATTTGCTCACAGTCTAGTAGGCTAGAAACCCAAATTCAGGGTGTCAGCTCCAGGGAAAGGCTTTCTCTCTCTGTAGGCCTTCTCATCAATCTTCCCCTGGACTAGGAGCTTCTCTGCGCAGGGACCTCAAGTCCAAAGAACGCGCTCTGCTCCTGGCACTGCTTTCTTGGTGGTATGAGGTCCCCAACTCTCTGCTTGTTTCCCTTTCCTTTTATCTCTTATAAGATAAAAGGAGGTGCAGGCCACACCCCAGGGAAACTCCCTTTACGTTGGATCAGGGATGTGACCTTAGTAAGGATGTTACAATCCCACCCTAATCCTCTTTAACATAAAATTACAGTCACAAAATGGAGGACAACCACACAATACTGGGAATCATGACCTAGCCAAGATATTTTTGAGGGACACAATTCGATCCATGATACTCAGGTTGCCTGAGAAGAGGGACTTTGCTTTGTTCATTGTGTATCTGTAGGACCTAGAACAATCCCTGTCACAGAGTGCTCAGTAAATATTTACTGAGTTAATGAGTAAATGTAACGCACTATAGGACAGTTTTTCTCCAAACTTGATGTGCATACAATCACTTGAGGATCTTGTTAAAATGCAGATTCTGATTCAGTAGACCTGGTTTGAGGCCTGAGGTGCTACATTTCTAACGGGCTCCCAGATAACACGGAAGCCACCAGCACCTAACCCACACTTCGAATAGCAGGATTAGAGAGGATACAAGGATGAGTGATAAGTGATGTTTGTCCTTTAGGAAGGAGCTCATGATCTGGTAATTGAAGTTGCCATGTAAAGAGACTCATAATTGTCACCTACCACCTCCACTTTCATCTGTACAGAAAAAGCACGTAAAACCTGAAGCTACTTGAGATTGGGGTAGATATTGACCCGAAACATTATACAAAGCCAACCTAAGGTTACGTGTGGCTAAGACAAAACCATTCAAAGTACTATTATAAGACACAATACTTAGAGGAAGCTATTGGTAATTTAGTATATGGGACCAGAGATCCCTTTTAACCAAGAGAATAAATATCCTAGGACAGATAGATGAGAACTTGAATTTCACTCTGCTCCTGAGTAGCCATGTAACCTTAATCAAGTCACCTATATTCTCAAAAGCTGTTTCATCATCTGTCAGTTGCAGCAACTGACACCCAGCTTAGAGGTGTGAAAATGAAGTGAGGAATCACAAATAAATTAAATAACTGTGCCTGGCACATGGTGGTCCTTAAAAAAATATAATAAGTTCTTCTATTCGTTTCTGAGGTGGAACAT